AGGTTGACTGGTACACATATGCCATTGACATAGGCAAGGAAGTTGAAGTGGATAACTGTTCAATGGAAGGAAGATAGATAGTAATAAATTTGATTTTGATCTGTTAGAAGTGATCATAGTTGACTATTCAAGTGGTAAAGTATAACTTTCTCAACATGATAAGACTAGAAGAGAATTTCTATAAAAACAACATAAAATTGGAGACTGATCAAAATCAGATAAAGGATTAAAAAAATCACATATACACTATCATTCTCTTCTCTCTTGATGTGTAATTACTATGAGGAAACTGAATATATTTGCAGAGTTCATATTTTCTTCAGCCAGCATTATGGGAAACAATAAATGGAATTATAATGAAAATGGGATTTAGTTTGTTAAATAAACTAAAAATAAATAAGGAAGGAATAGAAACTGTGGGTAAATATTTTAGCTTTGGGGGGAATGCTATTTGAAAAACTCCTAACTATTATGTAATGGGATTCTATGTAAGAATTTAGGGCGAACATTAATGATGCTGGGAAAGTCCTTAAAAAAAGTTTAATTTCTTCATGAGTGTAGGGACCAGCAGATGGTGTAATGGCTATGTCACTAGACTCCCATGTAGTCGACCATAGTTCAAGTCCTGGACCCAGTGGCTTAAACTCATGCTGGGCATGTGTGCATGCGTGCCCAAGATCCCAAGAGAATGGAGAAGGGATTACAGCATGGTCATCCTCCCTGGGGTGGGGAGTGATTTCTCACTTTCCATCTCTCTGTCTCTCTGTCTTTCTGGCAAGTACACGTGCCCTATAGGAAAAACTTCTTCAAAAAAAATTTCTTCCTTGAGTGAAAGAGACAGAGAGACAGACAGAGAAGAGACAGAGAGAAAAACAATCCTCCCAGCAACCTCTTGGGTCTTGATGCTGCAAATCACCTCCAGGTTCAGCCAGCTCTGGTGCTGAATCGTGGGCATGTGCATACCAGGTATACTCAGGGAAGTCTCTGGATATGGGCCCAGGACCTTCCCACATCGGTCAGCCTTGCAGAGATGTCACGCTTTACCACTTTACCACTGTGCCACCACCCAGTTCCAATGCTGGGAGAGTTCGGAGACAATATTTTATCTATTTGAAAGGAAAATAGGTCATCAGAGGGGAAATCTCTTCCTATCCGCCCATTAAAATCAGAGGAAAACCACCAGGCCACAGCACTTGCAATGGACAGTCTACCGTGCTCATCTTGCCTACACTTCCTCATACCCCTGAAGATGCCCAGCCCGTTTTGCAATGATGAGAGTATCCCTCACCCCTCACTTTTTGGATTCTCTCCTGTTACTTTGATCTCCTCCCTCTTGTGCTTTTTTGATAGCAGCTGTAAAGCAGTGGCTATGAGATTTTTATTTGAAGCAGGGATGATTATGCGGTTTGAGAGGCAAGGGAAGAAGGGCTAAATAAAAGGAAGTGACTCTAAGCTGTTAAGAATGAGAAGACCGTTAATAGCAACATCTTGATTTTGTTCAGAGACAAGCTGCAGCCATCCGAAGGAGGCAAGGAACAAGGTGATAATAAGAGAAAATGCGTTTCACAAAGGAGCAGACAGCAGGGGAGAGCCTTTCGGAGCAGGCAAGCAAGAGGGAGACTGTGCAGAGGCTGCGCTAATCCTTCTGAATCACACCGGTGGAAGCACAGGCCTTTTGAACTCCTTGGCAACTTGGGCCTGGTCTCAAAGTGGATTGTGAGGAAGGAGAACAAAAGAAAAGTTCGTTGTGAGTTCCTCTTGTCAGAGCAGGGGAAATTGCTTTGAGGCCAGCACTAAAAGATGGTAATGGCAGAAAGTGGAACCAAGTAAGTGAGTTAAAAAAAAAGAAAAAGTGTCAGGTCACTGGGAGCTTGCCTCACATAAAGGGACAGAAAACCACTGCTGACAAGATCTTCAGCACAGGTCCTACCACGCACTGCAGTGCAAGTCCCTTCTAACCAGTGCTCAGCTGGCTAAAATTGGAAGATAATGCTTCGACGACTCTGAGAATATTCGTTCCCTCGACAAACAGTAATTGAGACCTCACTGTGTCAGCTAGGCCTGTTGCTGTCCATGCCGGAAGCTGCAGTAGGAGCCCTTATGTCCTTGTAGGTGCTAGTTTTGTGAGGCAAGAAAGGACCTTTGGAAAGTGAATACTGAGAAATGAATGCTGACCTTAGAAGGGCACAGTTACAGCAGAAAATAGGAGTGAGATAGAGGAGAGGCAACGTAAGAACTAGAAAGAAACTGTGTGTATATTTAACCTTCTTACGAACTGGACGTTTGTGTTTGCTCGCCCTGCACCCCAAGTTCCTGGGTTGAAATCCTAACTCCCAGTGAAACAGTTGTAGGACTGGATCTTTGTTTCCCCCCACCCTACACCCCAAGTTCCTTCATTGAAATCCTAATCCCCAATGAAACAGTGTTAGGAGGTAGAGCCTTTAGGAAGTACTTCAGGTCATGAGGGTGGAGTCCTCATGAATGGGATTAGTGCCCTTGTAAGAGACCACATACTCTTTTCCACCATGTCAAGATACAAGATGGCCATCTGCAATCTGGAAAAAGGCCTCCCAGCACCTAACCATGCTGGCCGACTTCCAGCCTCCACAACCGTGAACCATAGATTCTTTTTGTTTATAAGCTAGTCGGCCCGCCTATGGCATTTTGTTACAGTAGTCTGTACTAAGACCTTCCTTCAGAGGAAAGACATAGCCATTGCAAGTCTTTCTTCTCAGGGCCTGAATTTTCTCATCCATAAAATAGAAGGTTGAAAAAAAATGATGCATACTTTCCCTTGTGGCAGATTTAGAATGATCCCGAGAGTTTTCTGGAGATCATGCAATGGAGATGGAACATACAAGGATCTCTTTTTTTAAAAAACGAATTACTTCATTTAACTTTATTTATTTTAATTTGATGGTGGGGGGCAGGGACAGAGGGATTTTTTTGGAAAGTGAGAAAGCAATCCACCAAGTCCGGGACTCAGACCATGGTTGGCCATATGGGAATCCAGTGCCCCTAACCACCACGTCACCTGCTGGCCCCTTTACAAGGGGATATATATATATATATATGATTCTGAAAACAGCTGCAGGAACGAGAAACTGTAGATGTATTTTCTGTGTATTCTGATGAGCTGTTGAGAAATTCTTAAATAACGAAGATGCTAAAGCCTTCCCTACAGGTTCTAAGCCAGAGATGGCAAAAAAAAAACTAGGGCACCCCAAAGTTTTGTTTGGCTAGCCAATATTTTGTAAAAATTGATCCAGCATTTAAAAAGTGTGAGCTTTCACCTGAAAACACAGACCTTTGGCTTCTCTTGAAAGACTGGGATATCTGGCAGCACTGCAGCCACAGAAGCAATCGACTAGGTGTGGCAGCAGATGTCCCGTTGAGATGTGGCACTGCCCTCTAGTTTGATCATCTCTATCACTCATGTTAGGGTGACCACATAACTTGTTTAAACCCAGGCACTTCTGAGGGTGAAAAGGCACAGGGCACCATTAGACATTTTGCCTGGGCCACAAGCATACGCCAGGACTACGGTAAGCAATGAGGATATACGATTAGCCTAGTTCACTTCGCTTATACTGGGGGCTGGCTTCTTTCTTTTTGACCACTGTTATTTGGGTTTTGTGATCACAAATCAGGGGATTTCAAGAGGAAGAAAAGGTACAAAATGAAGGCACATGAAGGCTGAAAAGAAAATGAAGAAATTAAGAATTATTAAAATGAATGCCAATTATGCCAACTGCTCAGGTAATGGCAGAGCCTTGCTGGTGGTGGCAGGCTTGGCATTTCAGTTTGACCTTCCAGGCTCCCTGCCCTACACAGCACTGTCAGTTTCAATAAACTAATCCTGTAGCTAGAGCAAGACTAATCAAACTGCGGAGAGCAGCTTGTTTCTAATCAGGAAGGCACAGGAACATCATTTAACTCTGTGGTTTCTCAGTGAGCTCTAAGCTGCCTCTACAAAAAAACAAACAAAAAAAATCCTGGATACAATAGGTGGTTCACACTCTAGCCCTGACCTTTGCTTGTCCTTGAGATTTTTATCAAATGCTTTAATTACACACATATTCGTCTGAAAAATGTTTTAGCAGATTACTTTCCCTTAGGGGTCAGCAGGTGGTATGGTGGTTAGGGTGCTGGACTCCCACATGGCTGACCAAAGTTTTTGAGTCTTAGGCCTGGTGGCTTGCTTTCTCACTTTCCCTCTCTGTCTCTCATCAAGTTAAATGTAATTAATTCATTTTTTTTTTAAAGAAAGGATATTTTCCCTTTACTTTATTCCAGGGAATGATGAAATATCCCTCCCCCAATGTATGTAGGAAACCTGACTCCACTCCTGTTGATTTCCCAATACCAGCTGAAATAATCACATTCTCTAAAGCCTTTCAACACTATTTAATGTAATTAGCTCAAAACTGGGAGTTGAGCATGGGATCTGGGGACCTGGAGTGGCAGGCAACCCATGTTGCATACCTACAGGTGCCAGCATGGTACTGCAGGCTGCCTGTGCCAGTTACCCCCCATGGGAGGAGTGGGAGCCAGGACAAGCACCCGAGACCATGGGGTCAGGAGGTTCTTCTACTCAGTCCTTGACTCTCTTAACCCCTTCAATCCAAGAGCAAGTCTATTTAGTACAATAGTCAATTGCTGACTTTTCCAGGCTGACCTGGCTGCTGAATAGTAATGCATTCAGGCATACTACTCAACCTTTCTGAAATTTCTGGTAGGCCCGCAGACGGCCTACTCAAGAAACTAACACACCATAGGCTTGCTCTACGAGTCACTATATATGAAAGCATTTACTAAGATGCCTTGCACATTAAAATGGGGATATCTGGCAGCACTGCAGCCACAGAAGCAATCGACTAGGTGTGGCAGCAGATGTCCCGTTGAGATGTGGCACTGCCCTCTAGTTTGATCATCTCTATCACTCATGTTAGGGTGACCACATAACTTGTTTAAACCCAGGCACTTCTGAGGGTGAAAAGGCACAGGGCACCATTAGACATTTTGCCTGGGCCACAAGCATACGCCAGGACTACGGTAAGCAATGAGGATATACGATTAGCCTAGTTCACTTCGCTTATACTGGGGGCTGGCTTCTTTCTTTTTGACCACTGTTATTTGGGTTTTGTGATCACAAATCAGGGGATTTCAAGAGGAAGAAAAGGTACAAAATGAAGGCACATGAAGGCTGAAAAGAAAATGAAGAAATTAAGAATTATTAAAATGAATGCCAATTATGCCAACTGCTCAGGTAATGGCAGAGCCTTGCTGGTGGTGGCAGGCTTGGCATTTCAGTTTGACCTTCCAGGCTCCCTGCCCTACACAGCACTGTCAGTTTCAATAAACTAATCCTGTAGCTAGAGCAAGACTAATCAAACTGCGGAGAGCAGCTTGTTTCTAATCAGGAAGGCACAGGAACATCATTTAACTCTGTGGTTTCTCAGTGAGCTCTAAGCTGCCTCTACAAAAAAACAAACAAAAAAAATCCTGGATACAATAGGTGGTTCACACTCTAGCCCTGACCTTTGCTTGTCCTTGAGATTTTTATCAAATGCTTTAATTACACACATATTCGTCTGAAAAATGTTTTAGCAGATTACTTTCCCTTAGGGGTCAGCAGGTGGTATGGTGGTTAGGGTGCTGGACTCCCACATGGCTGACCAAAGTTTTTGAGTCTTAGGCCTGGTGGCTTGCTTTCTCACTTTCCCTCTCTGTCTCTCATCAAGTTAAATGTAATTAATTCATTTTTTTTTTAAAGAAAGGATATTTTCCCTTTACTTTATTCCAGGGAATGATGAAATATCCCTCCCCCAATGTATGTAGGAAACCTGACTCCACTCCTGTTGATTTCCCAATACCAGCTGAAATAATCACATTCTCTAAAGCCTTTCAACACTATTTAATGTAATTAGCTCAAAACTGGGAGTTGAGCATGGGATCTGGGGACCTGGAGTGGCAGGCAACCCATGTTGCATACCTACAGGTGCCAGCATGGTACTGCAGGCTGCCTGTGCCAGTTACCCCCCATGGGAGGAGTGGGAGCCAGGACAAGCACCCGAGACCATGGGGTCAGGAGGTTCTTCTACTCAGTCCTTGACTCTCTTAACCCCTTCAATCCAAGAGCAAGTCTATTTAGTACAATAGTCAATTGCTGACTTTTCCAGGCTGACCTGGCTGCTGAATAGTAATGCATTCAGGCATACTACTCAACCTTTCTGAAATTTCTGGTAGGCCCGCAGACGGCCTACTCAAGAAACTAACACACCATAGGCTTGCTCTACGAGTCACTATATATGAAAGCATTTACTAAGATGCCTTGCACATTAAAATGGTCCATAGATTCTGGTTAATATTTTTACTGTGTTAGCATGGCCATAAGTCCCCCTAATTATATAAAGAGACAGGTAAGGGAATCTTCACAATATGTATAACTCAGTATCTCCTTTTTTTATTGGGTCATCAGAAAAGTCATGATGTACTTTTTCCACATTTTTCTATGCAAAAATGCATCATGATTTTTCCAACAACCCAACAGATTCTGCATTTAGTGTAACTGCTCTTAAAACAATAATTACAAATAGAATAAATATGGAAAAAATAGTTTTTCCAATAAGAAATCTCTACAACATGTCTGGGACCATGGAAATGTACTATTTTGTTTAATAGGCTCACTACCATTTCCAGAAAGTAATACACAATAAGTTTTTAAAATAAAAAAGTTTATTGGTTATTGCCTTTAACAGATTTATTGTATTAAAGAAAAGAAACATTTTTTCAAATGTGCTAATAAGAAAAAGACGCAGGAGGATAAATCATGACACTAAACAGAATAGTCAGTGTTCTAAACATAAATGAAACTCAAATTTTATACAGATTTTGGAATATTTACTGATACTCCACCAACAATGAATTTGGCATTAAACAGAAATGTTAATACACAAGCAAGTTCAATCTAATATATTTCAAAACAATCAGATTTTAAGAACAGAAACTTTCTCTCATAAGTACTCCTTGCTGTTCATGGAAAAGTTGTAAGATTTTCCATGATTTTTTGACTTTTGAAATTCATGGACATTTCTATACCACTAAAAAGCTAACCAGAGATGAGCTCCACACAAATACACAACAACACAGTTGCTATATAGTAATAGAAAACAATGTTCAGTGACACCCACTCAATTTTGAACAGACAGTAAAACATAGCAGAAGTATAAAACAAATGTATTTCTTATCCCTATCCAAAAAATCAGCATCTTTTTGGGTATTACTGTTGTTTTTTCAAAAATCTATGTGTATGCACATGTGTGTATGTGCAATCTTTATAGAAAACTTGACAAATAGAGAAATGCACAAAGCAAATAAACATTACCTGTTATACCATCAACCAACATGTCACTTTCTTGGCAAAACCAAAATAAAATCATGAAACCAGAGACAACCTAGAAAGGAACCACTGGCCTCAAGGTCTACAGATACCAAGTCACCAACCACTTCAGAATCCTTAGGCAGAACCTCTCTGTAGGCTCTCAGATACCCGTACTGTGGCCTCTCTCCTGGAACCACTGCATTTTTCATCAGGAAGACACTGATTAAAAAGCAAGAGCAATAGTAAGGCAATGACTCTAACCTAAAATATGTTGTCCCTCACATTTCAAAGCTAGAGGGAATCTTAGCAGTTCATTTAGTCCCACGCACAATGCCTGTCCCCCTTTATTCAGGAAAGGGCACGTACGGAGAAGTGAAGTGATCTGGCCAGGCATCACAGCTGAGCAGGACTGAACCAATCCTCTAACTGCCAGGCCGGGCTCTGACCAACTGACTACGCTGCTAATGAACCCGTCAGTGATGGGGCTGCAGTTGTTACATGGCTAGACTATTAAAGAGCTGGAGGACAGGCCACAGTGAATCTGTACAAGCAGATCAAAGCAGCTAGGCACAGTTCCGGCTGCTAACAGGCGAACGCACTAGCTCTAGGAAGACAAATCACAAGTCAGCTATGTGGAATGAAGGAATGTGACCTGGGTCAACTGATCACATAAGCAGTGTTGGAGACCCATGTTCCATGGACAAGAGCCATTTCTGATTGCACCACCAAAGTGGCCTAAAAGACAAAAGTATCTAAAAGAGCCTCCTGAAAGAATGAGGATCAAAATAAAGAAAACCTGAAATCAGCCAGATTCTTTCCAGTCGACGGACGTGTGTCCACAGAGGCTCTGCTACTCACCGTCAGCCATCTCCCCTCAAGCCCCAGTTCAGCTCAGTGTCCCCGATTCCTCAGAGTCTCAATCCCCACTCAAGGTTGCCCCTCACATTGAAAACTTCCATCACTAAATAAATCCCTGCTGGCTAAAAGAGTTAGCCTAGATATTTTAAGAGTAGTGGTTTAATTCTTTCTGATCAATCCGGGTCATTTTAGTCTTTAGGAGAAATCTTTCACCCTCATGTGGGCAGTTTGATACAGATGTTCTTTATTTCAACAGACTTATTCCCAAACATAAATAATTAAAGCTAAGATGGTTCCTGCTTCTCTTTTCCCATGTTATAACCATGCTAGAGGCTCAACCTGAAGTGTCAGACGGGTATTTGCCAGGTCTCAAGATGCTTGTCTGCAGATGAGCTCTTTCAGCTGTGCCAGTCTGTCACTTTTCAGGGCTTCCCGGATAGAGTGGAAAAATCCGAAGTAGTGTTCAAAGTTGTGCATCATTAGCAGCACCCCCGCTAGCAGTTCATTGGTCACAAGCAGATGGTGGACGTAGGCACGAGTATGATTCGTACAGCAGTAACAGGAACACCCTCTCACCAGTGGATTAAAATCCTCCTGGTACCTGAGAAAGGAAATCACATGACATTTCAGAACGTGAGGAACACAAGAAATCCATACCTTAGGCTCTCTGTTCTACTGGTGAGGCTACCAATGGTTAATAACATCACTGACAAATGTGCAGTGCTGGATGGCCACATGTGAAAAGAGAGTTTGAAAAACTAACATGGTCAATTCTGAAAATGAACTGAAGTCTGAATAAGGTCACTGCATTTAAAAAGTATAGAAATATACTTGATTGATGAGGGGAATGTGACTTTCACTGCACATGAGTCTTATTATAATCTGTGAACAGATATCCTGCACCTGAGAATAAAAATACTTGTTATAGACTTAAAGTCATGCATAGCAGGGAGTGTCTAAATGGTTATAAACAATGATTCGTCATAAAGGCCGTGCTGATCCTGTGTAACTGAGGACTATGGATAAATCTGGTTGGTATTTGGTATTGGGCAACTCACATGTTTACACGCTTCGTGCCCCAATGTCCCCAAAGGAATGGCCTTTGAAGTGACCCTTACGGTGGTGCTTTAGGGTTACTTTATCACAGAGTGGCCTAGTTTTTGACTTTTGCACTTAACATTTTTTTTTTTTTAATAACGTGATGATAGAACATTTTTCTCTCTTGATTCTGGCCAAGGGCTTTTAGTCCACCAGTATACAAGAACAAGTGTTAGTAAATGTTTCTGTTGCCATCTTTCTATAAATACTGGATTTTTCCTGTCATGTAGCACTGCACTGCTTCTGTCTGTTTAACACTGGCATTGAAACCATGAGTCCTTTTTTCCAATCATTCAGGCTGTGAAAGCTACTTTTATTAACTTATTCATGTAGTTTGATATTTTTTCATAATCTGGATTTAAACAAAATTACATCATTGCATCATCTCTTTAAAATTCATCTCTATTAAAACTTGCCTTAAGCTACCCAGGTTGCTTGTGCCACCATCAGCCATACTGTGTGCGTGTATATTTGATTTACCTTTGCAATAAACTTCTGTGTAGTGGGGAAAAAATAAAATTTGTTAAAACTTTGTTCAAAGCTAATAAGAAAATAGGAGACTCAGGAG